TCTATGCTATGTCTCCTCAGTAATTACCTTCATGGTAGATCTCTAAATGTTGTTCTCAATGGAACGGAATCAGCAAGACATCCTATTGGGGCAAGTGTTCCACAAGGAAGCGTGCTGGGACCATTGTTATGGAATGTCTACTTCAACGACCTTTTTCATCTCATCCCAGAATCCCATGCATATGCAGACGACTGTACACTGACATTCACTTATCCAAGAGAAGAAATGCCAGCTGCTCTAAGCTACATCAATCACCAGCTAAGAGCTATATCTTGGGGAAATAGATGGCAAGTAGCATTTGCACCTGAGAAAACGCAAATGATGATGGTCTCTAGGCACCATGATGGTAATGCTGGTGCAGTAGTAAGGATGAATGGGAAGGTGTTGGCACCTGGAGAAGAAGTTGATATCCTTGGGGTGAAATTTGACTCCAAACTAACCATGAAGAACCATGTTGTAAATCTTGCAAACAAGGCAGCCAGGAAGCTTACAGCACTTCGCCGTATCTCATATCTGCTTGACAATAGAGGTTGCAAGATTATGTACGAGGCACAAGTACGCTCACACCTTGAGTATGCTCCACTTTCTTGGTTTGCCTGCCCCCCTCTTTTCTGCGACCGCTTGACAGAGTAGAGAACAGAGCAAGACGTCTCATCTCTCGCCTGGACCCATCCTGGATAGATCTGTCATTTCAGCAGAGCCTTCAACACAGAAGGGATGTGGGTGCCCTTACTAGTTATGTACAAGGCGAATATTGTCAAAGTACCACACTTGGATCCACTTCGAGGACAGCGAGAAACAAGCTTTTATGCCACAAGACGGGCAGAAAGCAGCAACTTCACTCTGGCTGTACCCTTCTCCAGAACATCACTCCATCTGAGATCACATATACCCAGGATGACTTGAGTATGGAACACATTCGTACAGCATAATGATGTCAACGAGATAAAGTCAGTTGATCAAATGAAAATGCTGGCCCACAGATGGCTCCAACTTCATCCTGTTCCCTACTTGTATGTCTCATAACAATAAAAATGCTTTCAAATGAGCTGATGTAGGTAACAGCTCTTAGATTGCCAATAAAGTTAGGAATCCTTAACCTGTAAATAGCTTGTCAATAAAGCTAGGGATCCTTAACCTTGTCAAACCATGTTAAAAGAGAGAGAGAGAGAGAGAGAGAGAGAGAGAGAGAGAGAGAGAGAGAGAGAGAGAGAGAGAGAGAGAGAGAGAGAGAGAGAGTGTGTGTGTGTGTGTGTGTGTGTAAACAAATCAATCTATGAGTTCTTTTGTCCTAGCCAATCAAGAAGTACTGTAAATTTTAAAATGTCCTATAAATTCAATAAGTATTTTGTAAATTAAATACAAGTCTGTGAATTCATTTCCCAGCTTTACTAATTTACATACGAAAAGTAAAAAATTTATTATTTTACACTGCCAAAGAAACAATACTATGGTGAGTGAGTGTTTTTACAATTATTTTAAAATCTGAATAGCGATACGGAGAGTTCATTACATAATGCTCTACGAATTCTGTGTATAAATGAAACTGTGTGGGAAGAAACCGTAGAGTTCGTCATTATCACATAGGAATATTTTTTTATATCTATTTATCTAAATTCCAGATCTTTCAAAAGTTTCATGTACAAAATCAGAGGCTGTGGATATTATGTCTTTGTTATCTCTAATGGTTTAAAATTTATCATACACTGTAAAGGTTATAAATCAGATGAGTCCCGCAGGAAAAATAGTGTCGTCACATTTAACTTATAGATCGATGAACGAGAAACTTTGAGAAGAAAACGAAAATAAATCTTTGCAGATTTTTCTCTCTCCAAATGATGTTAATAGAATGTAAATTAGTGAATGCATAATTAATGAGGAAGAAAAATTAATAAGAATCGTATCAGTGAAAGACTTTTAGCATAATATCCATCAATAAGATATATATTGAGTGTGTCCATCCACATAAGCTTGGATTATCCATTCGGTGATTCCGGGCATACACAGAATATTTTAGGCTCTAAGAATTCTCAGATGAATCAAAAATGAAAATAAAAATTCTAAATCACTCTTAAATTTTTGCTGTATTTGAGTTTTTTGCGCTGAATATATTACACACTCCTTACGGGAGGCTCCTTAATGATGGAAAGGGGCTCTTGATCCAAGGAATTGGACCTTCTTTCCTCTACTTCGGATCGAACCTGAACGCCTCTTATTCACCTAAGCGTTATGTGACCCCAACTGATTTAGTGCTCCCTCTGACTGTATTATTATTATTATTATTATTATTATTAGTAGTAGTAGTAGTAGTAGTAGTAGTAGTAGTAGTAGTAGTAGTAGTAAGTAATAATAATAATAATAATAATAATAATAATAATAATAATAATAATAATAAAAAGAAGAAGAAGAAGAAGAAGAAGAAGAAGAAGAAGAAGAGAAGAAGAAGAAGAAGAAAAATAATAATAATAATATATAATAATAGTAATAATAATAATAATAATAATAATAATATAATAATAATAATAATAATAATAATAATAATAATAATAATAATAATAATAATAATAATAATAATAATAATAATAATAATAATATTATTATTATTATTATTATTATTAATTAATAATAATAATAATAATAATAATTTCAGAATAATGTGGAAACCCTTTGCAACCTGTGCTTTGTATACAGTGAAAATATTTAAGAAATCAATGTTGTGGTTGAAGAAACAAGTGAGCAGGACTTTACTGTGACTGACGCCGCACTGCAAGATAACGTTATGCTCTTCCATGAATCCAGGTTGTGCTAGTTAAACATTAAAATATTGCGTAAGCGCTGGTATCATAGTCCCTGACCCTGAACCCTGAACATAAACCTGACCCCTAACAGTGATCTCGGCTCCAGATCCTGCTTCTGGTAGCGGGGTGTAAATGATACGCGTTTTCGGAGGCTTCTTTACTTTATTTGCAAAAGTCGTGGTGGGTACACAGGCTTGTGTGTTGTGCCCATGGCCCGGGTAGGGCCATGCCCACGAGAGAGAGAGCTAGTAGGCCTTCTGTCTTGCTGCTAGGCCGCTGAGTGAGTGAGAGAGTGTGGGACCAGCGTCCCACAGACCTGGGCAGGCCCAGAGGGCAGCGAAATATGAACTAAGCTGGCAGACAGCATAGGCTGTCTATGCAGACAGTACAGGCTGTCTACACTGCCCCCTAACCCACACCCCTGACTCCTGCCGTTGACTCCTACTTGGACTCTACCTGGAGGATGCCCCGGGGGTCAACGCCCCTGCGGCCCAGTCCATGACCAGGCCACGCGGTGGATCAGGGCCTGATCAACCGGGCTGTTACTACTGGCCGCACGCAAACCAGTGTACGAACCACAGACAGGCTGGCCAGATACTAACTTTAGGTATCTATCAAGTTCTCTCTTAAAGACAGCTAAAAGTAATCCCCTTTCTGTATGATGGGAGGCTGTTCAATAGTCCTGAGCCTCTTATTATCGAAGGTATTTTCTATTTGTAAATTATTATGTATCTTTCTCGCCTGAGTTCCATGGAGTATAGGTGAAGGGACTTCAAACGTTCCCAGTAATTAATATGCTTGACATTCTCCAGGTCTGCAATTTGTCCTGCCTTTAAAGAGGCTGTTAGTGTACAGTAATATGCCAACCTAAGCAGAACAAGAGACAAAGAGTATCATCACGTTGGTTTTTTCTTCACTTTCTTTTTTTTTTTGCTTTATCGAGTGGTTGGATATACTCATATACTCCGTTATAGCTTGTATTTTCCCTGACCTCTGTTTCAGACTCTGGTCCCCCGAACTTAATCCATAACCCTCACCCTGCCCTCATTCCTGACCCTGACCTCAGCCATGACCCTGATCTGACCTAACCATGACCCTTACCTCAATCCTGACAATGACCCTGACCCTGACTCGACTTTGACCTCTGGCTCTGATCTAACTTGACCTAATTGGACTTAGACTCTGACCTAACTCGACCGAGACCTAACCTGATCTAGCTTAACCTGACATAACCTGACACAACATGTCTTAACCCGATCTAACGCTATCTAATCCTACCTAGCCTGAACTAAGCTGACCTAACCTCATTAAACTTAACGTAACCTAACCAAACTTATCCCTTCATTCCTTGGTATCGTTCACAAGGAATGATACGGAGCTATGACTAGTGGTTTTATCTTCTATGTAGAGGAGAAACAGAAAAGGTACCAAGGCCGTGCCATGGTGTACTGAACATTTCACTTTGTTTACTACAATTCTCTGTGTTCTGTTTGCTAGAAATTTAAACATTCATTTCCCTACCTTCCCTGTTATTCGCCTTAATCTCATATTAACTCTATCACTCAATAGTCATATTTGTCAATGTCATTGCAAAATCCGTTTAAAACCCCATCTGTTGTATGGTTTATTTCCAGCATTTCAGTGACTTTCTCATGACGATCTAAAAGTTGTGTCAAGCAAGAGCCCAGCACTAAATCCATGCTTATTTGATTTGTTTTTTCCAGAAAAACAGTAAATTGGTGCAATAGCGACTTTTAAAAGAATTTTATAATGTGCGATATCAGTGTTACTGGTCTGTATTTTTTTCAGTTGCTCTATTGTCTTCGTTGTGAAGAGGAGCTGTGTCTCCACGATTTAAGATATCTAAAATTCAATAGAACATTAAGTGTTTTTGTAAATGAACTTAGCATTTATTTACAGATTTCGAATGCCAAGAATCAGCCCAGGTGCTGCGTGAGTGGGCATTTTCCCTATTTCTTCATGGAAGTTTAACATCACCGAATGGCTGGGATCTAACCCATGGCAAGCGAATCAAAAAAACTCACAGGGCAGTGTGTCACCCATTGGAACCTACCGGACGATTTAGATTCAGTCAACTCAGTATATCTCGCGCACTCGCGCGAAAGGTTTTTAAGCTACTTCTGCATAAATAACTTAACAAATAAGAACAAAAAAATAATAAATATAAAGTGACCCGTAAAC